ATCTCAACTACGCGAATGTGATTTTAATTGTGACAACCATGAAGTGAGTAGATACAATTCCGACCGCTAGCAACCAATCAATCAATCAATCAATGATTAGTCGATCCATTTATTTGTCTCAACAAATATTCTTGATATTAGGTATGTGTCGTGATTTCCCCGCATTCACAAACTCTTGACAGTTGTAGATGTTTGTTTGTTTTTTTCAAAACAATAATGGTAACAATAAAAATACATTGTATTTCAAGATGCTAATGTTCGTCCCCCTCAGTTCGACCTGACCTTATCTCCTTACATATTCCAGGGTGTACGTCGACATTTTATAATGTTCATTTTTATGACCAATTTAGCAGCCAGGGTGTTGTTATCATTGTGTTAGTGAGAAGTGGTCCGAGCGGGGAGAGGGTTAATCCATGGATACATGCCCTGATGATGCCCAGGTGAGTATTCCTCTCTGACATTGTTACGGTTGATTTCCCACAATCTAACGGGAGTCTAATACAACACAGACAAGTAGACTGTGCGTAGATCAAACCACGGTTACTGTTTTTGTTTTTTCATTAAATAGCGATCGAAATGCAAAGCGACGTGCCATGGCAAGGCGGTGGATATGAGTTTGTCAAACGCTCAACTGAAAAAAAATACGACACGTTTCTTTGATGAAGTAGTTTCAGCGTGGCTTGTATTTAATTATCAAAGTTTCTGGGTGGAAAAAAACTAACACTATGATAAATAGAGACAACTAAACCGTAACTTTGTTTAAAAGTGATACATCAAGTTTTTGTCAGTAAGCGCAATCAATCTCTCAATACCCACACTAGATCATCAATCCCACTACCACTGACTGTTTTCGGATCAAGGTTGTATTTAAAAGAAACTTTCGCGTGACCTACACCGTTAAAACGATTGTTCAATGACAAAATTTCGCTCAGTTTTATTCCAAGGTCAAGAATCGCTTTTTTTAATTTGACTTCATACAAAAAGTGGCAAGAAAAAGACTATATATAACTATAATGGTGATATAATCAATTTATATTTAGGGATAGTATAGACTCTTGTAATAGCGACGCCATCCAATCAAATAAATGTACATATGCACTAGTATGCACACTCGTGCTCGTAAGCCTACGATTCTTACTACTCGTCTGTTGAAGCCTGCATGAGGTATGTTTTAGTCAATGAACACAATGAATAGCCTTCTGGGATATCATTTAACGTAACGTTATACAAGTACCCCTGTTATTACAAAATAAAAGAATTCAGAGACTACAATGACGATGATCTGATATGTTTGTCCCCCATACAGATTAATTGGTATTCCGTTGGCGGATGTGTGGGTTGTTGTAATCTACATAGAAGTATAATTGGTGCCTGGATTCTCAGGTGAGTCATGTATGCGTCAATAAAATGTCTTCACAAACAAACAAAAAAAAAACGTCGCTATAATCACTAAGTTGTCAGAGCATGGTAATCGCATTAATAGCCATCTATGCTAATGACGGCCAGGTTTCAACAGCCTCTATTGAATTTGTAAGCGAGGAGGAGTTTCCGGAACGATCTTCTTCGTCATTGCAAGAATATTTTAAACGTAATGTTGTTTTCGAGCAGGATTATAGAAAGTCACAAGGGCATTCCGAACACGTTCTTCAAGAATTCGTGTACTGGGGAGGGAGCATTAGGTCATTGCCCCGATTCCATATCGCTAAAACTGGCACAACTTTTTCTGATATTTCGAACACCTCTATGTGACACCTGCACTATTTCGGAGATCCGTGATCGCTTTCTTTTGTCTTTTTTGGCCACGTGACAGCAACCAAAAGTCTGAACCTTACGGATGAACAGCCGGAAGCCCTTGCAAGAAAGACGAACCACTTTGGTTACCTGTTTCAAACTGGCGATTTGCCAAACACATTACTAAAGTTATGTAACCGCGTTACTAAGAGAAATTAGATTTGTTTCTCTACACTTCCAACGATGACCTTGGGGAGAGGGAAGTAATGTCAGGAAGGTCACATTGACTTACTATAAGAATACAAGTAAGCAAATAACACCGAATAAACGGCAAGGTAAAGACTATGTCTAATTATAGTAAATACGTACTGCGTGCGTGACTCGAACCGGCGCTCGCGTACGGCACCCAATCGCCCAGCCTCACGCCACCACACGTCATCCCCTCGGCCACCGGGCATCCCCAAAAAAAAGGAAGTCTTTACCTTGCCGTTTATTCGGTGTTATTTGCTTACTTTACTTCCTATGTCGACAGCAACTATGAGTATAAGAATACAACATGTATATTATAATAATTAATGTCTAGCCGGGGTAAGCGAAAATTGAGCCAAGACAACACTGCCATGAATGATTTTTAACTTACGTTTGCACGGTTTGGACAAGTTTCGCAACAAATATATGGATATCCGCATCGGGTGTCTGCGGTTTGCTTACAACGCATCCCATCCACGTGTCGATCCCTCACGTGACGCAAATTGCTTGGTGCGTAGGAAGTGATATATTGCCTTTAAAACGACGTAGAAGCCTGTAGATTATATTCATTTAGAATTAACGCTTTCCAGTTGTATTTACAAGATAACTTGACAATTGAGTGAGGAAAAATGCCCTACAACACAATACCCACGTGTTTAGTGAGTTTTGCTTAATTATCACCGCTAAGGGGTTAGACATTTGAAATCATGGGGGGTGGCTAGAAGAGGTGACTAGTGTGATTTTTTTTCGCGATGTATCGTCTGTATATTTTTATTTGTTTGGCATGCGCTTTTCTCTCTCGGTGTCTAGCTTGTAATTTTGTTTTTAAAAAAATCTTCAAGCCAACCGTTCATGATTTCAAGTGAGCGAGCTCTAACTGTTTGGAAATGCAAAGAACATTGCATATTCCGGCCTACGCTAAACGTAACGTGGGAACGAGGATGCGACACTAGTTGACGGAATACGTCTTCTAACATAGAGGTGCCTAGATATTCAAATAGGTTTCAATGAAATGTTGTTGTGTTTCCTTCTCCTTGGCTAGCAGTGACCTAAATGGCGGCATTTGTTGTGCCAGTGGTAAGCCATACGAAATCGACCTGTAAGGGCAAAACGGCGTTTGGCTGTTGTCGTCAGCCTCTTCCATTTGAGTGTGTCAACGAATATGAATAAGTGTACGAAGTAGCCGAGGTCGACGGGTCACATTAATGTTGTCATTACACCTTTGTGTGCAGTCAAAACGTTTAATGCGTGTTAGAATACTGGTTAACCACAAATCATGTGCTGTGGCTAGAACTAATCAAAACGCCATTACACTATGACTTCTTGCTGGTTTTTCCCGTCATTGGGTTGTTAAGTGTGATCAGGTGTCAAGCGCCCCTTTGCAAAGATCATTATCGAAAGTCAGGGTCTCGTGGAACGCAAGGACAAGTAGTTCGTGGCGTTGCACAATCCGTCCTCTCGCCACAGCGGTCAGTCGGTCAACTGCATCGGGGACTCAATAAAGAGAACGTGAGAGAAGGATTATTCTACGCATGCACTCTGGGCAGAAGAAAAAAAAACGTGATTGCAGGGGTGCTAGTACGCATGTGTTTTGGCCCACCGAGATTTGGAAACAAATATTAACTAAATCAGGGGAGCGCGATAATACGTGCTCGTCTCCCAAAACATTAAACAAAAAGATTGTTTACTTGTCCGCAATTAGACATTGTCATGCAGGTGACTAAATAAATAGAAATGTGGACTGGACTTAACCAGAAACCCCATGCGCACAATTAGGTCGGATGACCCGATATGAACTTTGTAGAATAGAAAAAAAAACTCCTCACCTATATAAGATGGACAGGTTTGGAGGTTTGCAGCATTCAGAATAAAGTGTACACACCTGCAAGAGGAACCTGGTTTACACTCCTATCAGCCCGTACTGATAAGTCATCATGTCTCGCTACACGCTACACTACTTTGACGTTCCTGCTCGGGGTGAAGCTATTCGACTGGCTTTTTATATCGGGGGAATCGAGTATGAAGACCGCATCGTATCTTTTAGCGATTTAACCGAATGGCAACTGATGAAGCAGGGTAGGTTTTTTTTTTCAGTCATTATTTTTTTTTTATCAATCAACATGTGATTTTTACGACCTTCCACTGCAGGCTGTTATTCCGGGATTGTTTTATGCAAGGCAAACCCTGCAATTTCGCGTTTACGATTTGCGGTGTTTTTGCGCGTTTTTAACACACGCGTGTACTAGTGATGTACATGAGACGCATTCTGAGCGCTGTGATGTGTGATCATTTCTCGGCTGGAGATTTTCATATTTACGACAAGATTACCCGTCTCAACAACACTCAGTCACGCATTGTATTACAATAAATCTCAACGAGGTTGATTTTAATCGAATATCGTGCATATTTTAAAATTATAGATGTTAGTTAAATACTAATATCCCTAAACCACGTGCACAGCGAACGTCGTAGATGGAAGCACAGTGTTTGATCTTCGGACTTCGCGTTTCGAAAGATACCTAATTCTAGAACAATACAGAGCCGTAATTTAACGATTGTCAGGATATATCGTGATTTATTTCTATCCAACGTACCATGGTGAATATAAACAGTTTTATTAGTTTTGTTGAATTATGAAAGTATACCGGGGTACGCAGACGAGCCATTACGAGGCGTTATTATACAAGTTTTCCTCCCGCATTTCGCGGGGACTTCTGCAACGGTTCTTCTATTATGGTTTCATATTTGTGATTTTCCACAAAGTATATTTTCAACGTGATAACTGACATTCGGAACTCGCCATCTAATCGCGACAAGGTCATGAACAGTATAACGATGTGTTACTTAGTATTACCCCTGCTCTTCAAGTTTATTACATCAATATAACTTTCGGGCGCGTGATGCAATATTCTAATTAAAATGTTTATTAGCTCAATAACTATTAATTTGTATTGTGACTTTACCCATGTTCTTTATTTTCCATTTTACTTTTCTTCACTGTTGCCTGTTATCGTAGAAGGTTCCCGGATAGGCTCGCCCGTTAGTATTGCGTCGATCATAGACTGTCACCTGTTCGGAGGTGCCGCGGTGCACCGTAAATCACCGGTCAGTTTGACTTACAACATTCCAGAGAGAAGCTCGAAAACCGCAAGCCCCGAAACCGCAAACAACAACAATGCAAAGCAGAAAGGCGGCGCCATAAACAGTTTGTCGATTTATTACAACACTGGGGGTGCGCTCAATAGATGATCAAATACTCGTGTAGAAATTGAATTCCCAGGGCCATTCTGCGATGAGCTTTAACCGCGTTCGACGTCCAATTTGCCGCTTACTCATTTAATTTCAGTTGCCGTGGAGTACTTGATATATTTTCAATTCAAGCGTGATACTTGTTCGGGTATTTTCCCAAACCTTTCTTCGTGTTGAAAACGTGACAAGAACAAAATATAGGAGTCTGGTAACCATGGAAATCGTTTTAGGGATCCGTGGTATTGCTAAGATTTAGCCATTGCTGAATTGCCTAGAAACGCTTTGATGTTCCATGACAGTAACCCCACCTATGCATTTCTTGAATTACTGAAGGCACATGTTATACTTTACTCTGTTATGTTTTTATTTTGCAGATGTGCTTACTGGCAAAGATAAAGATGTTGGTAAAATGCCATTCCTTCCTTGGTTGGAGAAAGACGGGAAATTCATTTCACAAAGTGGTGCCATACTTCGATACATAGGCCGAGAGACAGGTAATCTTACATTATAGCGAATATTTGTAATATTGTTCAAAATTAATTCAGTGTTCGAATACAGTTCCGTGAAGCATGAACATAGATGCAGGAAAGTCGATTTTACTGCATTAATTTTGTTTTGTTTATTTTCTCTTCGAATTTAACTAAACCTTAATTGAACACGTCTACGTCCGTAGGATTGTGTGGAGCAAACAGCTGGGAAACGGCTCAGGTAGACAATATATCCGACACTATCGACGATCTTATCACGTTGGGTTTAAGTAAAGTCTACCATGCAACTTCTGAAGAAAAGGTGAATATGATGTGTATACCAATTGATAGCTAAAAAAATCTACATATGAGCTAGATTATCGGCATTTTGGCAAATACCAAGTAATTACCCCCCCCCCCTACTCCAATTAAAAATTGGGATCCTTCTCAACACAATAAGGCAGTGTTTTGAGGGCAACACTGATACAAGCTTTATCAACATACTAGGCACAAAGAATACTGTCATGCTAAAATGTCTAGCAAAATACATATATGAATGTTTCAACCTAAAAGAAAGCAAATTAAAAAAAATCCTCACAGATATCTAAATTAGTAATCCTTACATTTACTTTATTAATTTGCATTTCTAACCCACTTTCGAACAATGTTGTTTTTTGTTTTAGTTTTGTTTAGTTATTCTTTCTAGTGTATCTTTTTTTATTCTGAATGTTTCTAACATGGAATGATAACCGTGCTTTATTGTATTTAGATCTATGTCCATTTTGAGGACACGACTTCAATAAAGAGTATTATTATTATAAAAAGTCAGTTTTACGAACAAAAATGTAAATTAGACTCACGTAGAGCTGCTAATCGCGTTTATTCATTTTTATTATGTTCCTATTCCAGCCGAAAGTAGCATTGACGTTTTTCGAAGGTGACTTTAAAAACATCGTCGGGGCATTGGAAAAGGTGTTGTCGGCTAACTACGGTGGGAAAAAGTTCTGCGTTGGCAAGAAAGTAAGTAACAGAAATAGATTGTGTACTCTGAGGCTCTGCCAAATATAGCCCGTGTATTCACAGGCGTGGTACTGTTTGTTTACAACGTATCCGTCAACTCAATATGTCGTGGGAAAGTGGGCGAAGACGAATGAGATACGGAACACTTCTACGGCTTTCGATTGGTTCCAATGAAAGGACCCTGGGGATTAAGCTGGCCTCTCGCCAAAACTACCCACACACACACCACACAAACATACTTGTTAAGTTATGCATTTTTGTAAGCTGACGTCAATCATTTGAGTATTTTTATCCAGGTGCGATTTCTGACATTTTTCGGGCGTTTTATCCCACGATACAAAATACCACCAGTAAGTTATTTGTACTTCTATTTCTTTTCATTCACAGCTCACCTACGCCGATCTAATGGTTTTCGTATACTTAAATATGTTTGATACAATGGTAGCTCCTCACCTTAAAGGCAAGGATCCTTACAAGACCATTCCTTTGACAAAATCGCTGAGAGATAGAGTTGGTTCTCTTCCTAAAGTCAAAGAATATTACACAGTTCGGGAAAATAACAACAAACCCAATAGTCTAACTTAAAAATAGGTGGAGTCGGGCAAACATATACCAGCCTTGAACTTTTTTTCCTCGGGAGAAACGGGTCGATTGCGCCTGTCAATCAATTGCTGCGAACGTGCGTATATGATCACGGGTCATGCATTCCTTTCTTACTTCGTTAAGCAATGTATTTTTGGGTATTCCATCAGAAGTTTTACATCTATCCTACCACGAGGTGTAGTGATGATACATTGCGTTTAACATGTGCCGCTTTATTTTTGCTCGAATTACGTAATTTTAATGATAGCGTTTTCCAAATGCAAAATTTATCTATCAGATACAGATACGATTTATTTGGTTATTATTATTATTATTATTATTTTCATTTCTTTTCACTCGTTCTTGCCTTTGTACATATGCTTTTATGATAGCCAGGTAAAAAAAAACTGCCCAAATATTATCATATTATGATTTTTAAAAAAAAAGTTATTATTCATTTATCCAAGTTTATAAATGACGTTACAGTCATTCCTGGATGTGTGCGTGACATGTACGATTGCAAACAATGCGTCACTACACTTAAAGAAAGGTTACAGAGAGGTCATTCAAGTTCACATGTGTACGTTACTCACAGGGAAGGGTGTGGAATTCGAGCATTATAATGAGTATTGCTTGCATGCATTCATTTTGATTACACGGCGCCCGTTCTACAGGGTCCTCGTTAGTAACATACCCGTGACCTTCCTTTTATAAAAAAAGGGAATATTATTTTCTGCATTCTGATAAAATCCACCGTATTTAACATTGACGAACTTCCATTTGTGATTGTATTTTATATTTATTGTAAATGTAATAGTATTATATTATAAACCGATTTCTTTCTCGGTTTTTGACGACAAGATATTTTCAGAAATGTTGATTTTTTAGAATGTGGCGATTTTGAGGAAAAATGAATTAAACCATCCCAGTGCCTCCCAGGGCAAGCCTTTACACAGGTTATTTGGGATCTATCTTTTCTACCAATATTAATTTATCCAATACAGTATATCGAAGAGTGTCATATTTTTTTTTTGGAAAAAGGATATTTCATGTAACGTATGTTCAGATCATAGCAAATAAAGCTTACGATATCTAAAAAAAAGTGTGTGGTTGTGTCGGGGAAGAATCCCGGGGAAGAATGCCAAGAAAAATACTGAAATGATATTGATTTCAGCGCCAGTGCTCCAATTACGGCTGAACATAGAGGTACAAAGCTTATATAACCCGGGGTTATGCGCTGGGAGAGAGGATAGTCAAATATCGAAATATCTCAGTAATGAGGTCATTTGAGAGGTCACTAAGACTGGGGATGCGATGAAATCAATCAGTGGCCGATGTTGTTTTGCTCCCCGGCTTTTTGTTAGCCCGTGATAGCACGATTCCCATTGAAGTGATACAAAATATATCCATCATATAGCTTTCTCTCAGCCACAAAATCGAAAATATTTTGCTTTTATTCACCGAGCTTCATCTACGTATTGCGGAACTAATGAAAGGCCATGTGCAAGTACTATCAATGCGTCTTGTGGTTTGGTGGGGGCAGTGGGATCACGCCGACCTTGAACATAGTGACCGGAGCAGCCGTTTAAGTAAATATAACAGTCTTGTGGCTTTGCCAGGGTCCAAATCAACAATCATATCCATCATCGACGCAGTCGAAGCGATGGCTGCTATACACCGAACCATGCACGTATATTATATCAGCTTGTTTAAATAAACTGCATCGTGGTGTCAGCACATTGAAGTCGGTCAACGAACGAAAGGTGATCATGAATTGGGCAGATGATACAAATACGCCCCCATCCCTTCTATGACACCATGAGATGATAACAGTCTCATCAAACACTGCGACGTTGATAATTCTAGAGAATCTCCAGAAGCAAACATTCATACTCATTCTCGCTAGGATACGTCGTTTATTTAATTATTGATATTTCATTAACATCATGATTGGATGAGAAAAAAATGTAAACTCGTCTCCATGGTAATCAGATAAAATGTCTCACATTCAGTACGTCCACTTCTGATTTTTCTGTCACTGTCATAATTTTAAAAAAAAATATCAATATGGTACGTGGATGACTTCAGTGAACGCATTACGCAATGGACTGACTCGGGTTATTGTGGCTTGTTTGTCACCATGATCGCAGTGTTTGAGAAGACTGTCATCATGTGTTCATCTCATGATGTCACAGGGATGGGGGCGTATTTGTATCATCTGCCCAATTATCACCTTTCGTTCGTCGACCGACTTCAATGTGCTGACAATGCTGTGCACTTTATTTAAACAAGCTGATATAATGTACGTGCATGGTTCGGTGTATAGCAGCCATCGCTTCGACTGCGTCGATGATGGATATGAATGTTGATTTAGACCCTGGCAAAGCCACAAGACTGTTATGTTTACTTACTCAAAGTACAAAAGTAAATGAATAATATTACATAAAGAATATCGTACTATGGACTATACTTGACTAGATATTTGAAAAAATCACAAATAAGCCTGACGAAATAAAACTGACATTCACATTATTAGCAACATTACAAAGATCATTTTCCATTTAGCAGCACATTTAGTATTCATACACAAATACGTGACGTCATTTTCCCTGCCTATTCATTCCATGTCCCCAATGTGTTCAGTTGAATCATGGTAAACAAACACATGAAGTACGTTATCTTACATGAAGTACAGTAGCCCCCTCGCTAATTAAATTTTGACTCCACCCCCGACAAAAAAATAAAAGCCTTTCGTTTTTTATTTTTTGTTTTCTTTTTCTTTCTTTTTTTCTTTTTTTTTGGCGAATTTTTAAAATATTTCAGAACACCCGCCTAGTATTTTTGGACATTGTTACTCACAGTGAGACTTCATTGAATATAACAGGGTGCAATAGCGCATTTCAGTCACACTCCAGTGCATTGCGGTAATAATGAGAAACACTTGTATGTAACTGGTAATACCGCCGGGGGCGCTATGCATTCGTATTACTTCCTACAAGCCCTCCCCAAGCCATAATGTTAACAACTTATAATATACGTAAGAAATACTATATGTAAGAAGGAAATGGAATACCGAGTAAAAGTGTATCTTAATAGGCTTATATAAATAACTGCCTTTACCACAATTCTTTGAACGATGTTGTTTATGCAAATGTTGATACACTTGTGGTAGTTATTACCAAAATGGTAGGTAATTTTTAGCAATTGTTATTATGAATATATGAAGTACTATCAAAACAACACTCCTAGCAATGCTGCAAAACCAGGATTCCTGTCGCCGAATCAGGAACCCGATCACATACATGTCTTTAGTTCTTACTCGTAAATGTCGGAATATCTGTTCAAAGTTTGTGCACTATTTCGATAACAGAAGAGTACCAGTATGTAACGGGGGAAGTTTGTCGAGTTGCCTGACAGGAGTTCGTGGAAAGATTGAAAATCGATACTCAGAACATTGTCGACAATATTCACATATGTTTTGTGACCAGCCTGCTCTGAATTTCTCGCAAATGAATAATACGTTTGATTTTCTGTTAGAGTTCAACGTGTTCAAAAGTAAGTTGTGTACTCTCTATTTGATAATACGTGTGTCTTTTTTGGTCGTTGTACTTGATACTAGTAACATGAACTTATTGAAATTATTATATGCTGTATAAATAGTCACGCCGACAATGGCATGCAGTGTATACATGTAATGTCTGGAAATGACGAATCGATTAGAGTTTTCTGGAGTTTCCACTGGCAATTGGTCAAGTGTGGCTATTGTAGTCTGACGGATGCATTCTATATTCACGTTTAAAAAGGGTGGCGCTCTTATTAATGGTTAATCGGTTTAGAGGAAATTTTATTTTTCAGTTTTTGGATTATAATCACATTTTTATAACGTTTATGTTTATAGCAGCAGCATCAAACAGTGGATAATTTTACAGCCTAAATGTAGCTATTTTGAGTCAGTGATTTTAGAAATAATCGTCTTTCTTTTTCCTTGAAAAAACAAACAAAACAAGTCGTATTGCTCAATATCACAGCACTTGAAAAAGAAAAGAAGAAGAAAAATTAGCTTACCTAGTTTTTGCAAGTTTCAAGACCTGGAATGGTAACAGTTTTATATCAGAATAAATTATATTTTTATCATTAATGCTAAGGAGGCGTCGTCATCATCATCAAACTGCACAGATTTGATTGGTCGGGATGTTCAGTTGCACGCACATTAAAAAGATAATGATTCTGTCGTAAGTAAGAAATATGTGATTTATTTTTCAAGTTGGTTCTATATAGAGAATGCTAGCTATATTCACAACAGTGTTCTACGTTTCTTTTTCATAATTTTAAAAAGTGAAAATAATTTCGTTATCGCCAGGCTTTAGAAAAAGCACTTATTTTACTCAATCTTATCTCTATATTAGCGTGCTACATCTCATGACAGTGCTTGATTGTTTATTTCATAGTACTGGATGCCTGCATATAAATGTAATATGTAATACTTTTTGTGATGTATTCAAGTTTCCGTTATAGGAAAAAATGAGAAAAATAGTAGATTTTTTAAAAAATCTCTTATTATTTAACATCATATTTATTATCTTAAATGCGTGCGATGCAGTTGGCGAACATTCCACTGTAATTTACATATTTAGGTTGCGCACGGTTACTAAAAACCGTGTAACCGTGGGCTGTGCGATGACTAAAGACTATATAATTAATTTGCATACTGATATAAGCTTTATTACGTAAAAAAGTGTGTCTTCAATCGATTAGTAGAGCGATACGCCATCTTGATCAAGTACTCCTCGCAATGCGCGGAGCCCTATTCTAAAGATTATTAACGGTGTAAAAATCCAAAAACATAGAAAGAACGAACAACGAGAGACGGCAAATACCAAAATAAACTATTTTTAGAGGTTCACAGAAACTTGCATAATTTAAGCGAATATTAACACTTTCTGAAAACATATATATTGTCATAGTTACTTGGTAACTGCTGGTGATTATCCCAATTATAATTATTACACAGTCATACTCACTTTTTTAGTTTGTGACGAGAGAGAGGCCAGGGTTTTAATATGTTACACTGCGCGCCCAACTTATAATTCCATTGCGAAATAATCAAATATTGAATGCTGCATTCAATATTGAGAAATACTGATATCCTATACCAGTAATAAATTTAAATATAACCAATATTTTATAAAAAAATTCACAATCAATAAATCATGTGACATTATGAACCATTATGGAAATTGTACTTTCAATGTAGCTATTGAATGAATTTATAATTATTGAGAAAATGGACCATGTTGCATTAATGTAAACTAACGTTGGGTTTTTGGGACGTGGAAGGCGTTTTATACGAACTACTAGTAACCTACAACTGACTGTCAAGCTTAATTCTATAAATCCCCTGCAATATCCAGCTAAGCTTGCATAGTCATATCTTTTCAATCATACCTGTGAATGCCTATAGTATTCGTGCTATCGCTCCAAGCTGGGTAGTTACAACAGATCGGCACAAGACCAAACCCAGTAAGTAGTGTATGTCCTTGTTCAACTAATTATATTGCTGGTATATGCAAGGTACAAGGACCTAGTACCTTTCATGCTGGTATATTTTGTTAATGGGGTTACGCAATAATCTAATTAGTAATTAAATGTGATATAAGGCAGAATTTGCTATTACGTAAGAGGCGTTAATCGATACGAGCGTACCTGGACTTGGACCACCATATGAAGTCTATCGTGGAGAAACTCAACCACACGAGCATTATTGAGTCAGTGGTGAGGATATAAAAACGACAGAGCAGTACGTATAATCACGAAGTTTCTACAAGAGATTTTGCATATAAAGAAAACTTTCAGTTAAGCCTAATCTCACAACAAATTTACTTCCTGGATTAAAATTACAATCGATAACAAAAGATAGATTAACATTGTAAACAACATAAACAATAGTGTCCCATGATTCTTTGGTGCAATCCCTGGGCTTGGAAGGTCCCCTTTTAAAGAAATCTCGTGCGGCTATTTGACGTGTATGCAAGCGAAGAGCGGGTTACACATTTAATTAAGTTTAATTAATTTATTTAAATCTTTCTATTTTTTATTTTTCGTATATAGTATGCTGTTTGAGTCAAAACAAAAGTATAAATCACGTATTATTTCAAGTCTCATTTATTTTACAATTTAAATACACATTTCACCAAGCATTCTCTAAGATCAATGTTTATTGTAGTTAAAATTATTTTGTGAAGTCCGTACAATTGCTAATTATTACCTGGTCTGAAATATGACAAATAATAAAAAATTGGCCAGGCAATGACGTAATGGTGTTCCTGGTTAAGGTGTGCCTGAGTATATAGTCTCTACTCGTAATCCCAATCCGTAATTCAGAAGTTTTTTGGGTTATCGTACTTTGATTATGTTTTGAAATTGTTAAATTATCCATTATTTATAGACGCCTTTGTAAAAGTATGATATCAGATCTTGAAAACAAACTTATCAATATAAAATCAACTAAATCAATATACATCTACATCGGCGATTTTTACGGTGATTGTAGAAAACGATCAACAATAAATCAGTACAACGCAGTATTCATCAATAATAATTGATAACATGATTTATTCAAATTGCTTTAATTTTTTTCTTCGGTGTGTAACCATGTGTTTCATATACCACAGACTATTTTGAAATATTTGAATTCATTTGAATTCAATAGTTTGAACAATATTATAAGGTGCATAACAGTTGCCGCCAATACATATTCTGTCCGTTTCTAAAACACATATAAATTGGACACAGTAAGATTCCTCGGTTCTTCAGAAATTACGCGTAAATACAATGTTACATCTCTTTAGTCAATTAATTATTCCAATTATCGACTGTATTGTTTTAATATCCGCGACAGTTAAACGTAAATACAATATTTTAGTACGTAGCGTTGAATTTTGCATTTTTTTTTTATAAATTACGCATCCAGTTCGCCATTGCAATTTTTAGACGCAATATTACAATAATCTTTGTAACAACTACATGCGAAAAGGTCGCACTTCCCTTAAAAGAAAACATCCTAAAATAATTGGATAACCAAGTGAATGATTGTCTCAATATTGTAAAACTTTCTGGGAAAATAAAAAAACTCTAGCGCATCATTAGATACTTAATTATCAGTAAAATGTCCACCCTGTAAAACGACATACTAACATAGATTGATTTTGTTGTCAGATAGACATCGAAACCATTTCAACTTGTTTGTTAATAGATGATTATCCAGTTTATCAAAAAAACAATTATGATAGCAAGTAACAACGTACACAATAACGGTGATGTAGTAGTGAATATGTCATTCAAATGTGAAATCACGTAACATTTATTAAATCAACTAAAAATATAATTGATAATCATTATGATTATGACGTCATTTTAAATACATATAAATAGTAATTACAGACTGCAAGACAGTCAAATGTAGACTATTCTCAAAATGCATGTCGTATTTTAAAAACACATCTTCTAGGTCACGTTGCAAATAGCGATTTGTTTTCTTCGTTTAGGAATTTAGAATCGAAGTTTGACAATTATTTTATTTCCTGTGTAATGTTCTAGTTTTTTCTTTGGTCACATTAAGCCCATTCGCTGCGCACATGTTATGTGTATTTCCCATATACTATACTAGTAAGTGAGTTTGCCAGGTAACTACAACTATTTGTTTTTTTAAGTAACGTGAATTTATCTAATTAGCGCTTTCACTAATAAATCACTTCACATATGTCTCTACTGCAACCCACACTACATATACACTACATATATATGCTCGTGATTCAAACCGTGTTCCATGATTTCATATGAATATGTTGTTATCATCATATTGTACTCTAGGTGATTCCACTGGCGTTATCGTCTCATACATGTTCATTTCATCGACACCGATAGAGGGCAGTATAAATCGTACTTAGTAGTTGGTTACTTCGGTAATGCTTCATTGCGTACAAAACGATGTACACCAAGCTCAGCACCTGTCGATGTATTGCGTGTGCGCACTATTGGGTATTAGGTTATTTCAACAAACGAATAATTATTTATGTGCTGCGAAAGCAATGTTTCTAGTTTTCAATCTATCGTCATCCTAACCGGCAATTATTCAGAAAATATAACAAATAACTATGGGTACGCATGGTGTCAGCATCCTTTATTTCATGTTTTTGTCATATTACCTCAAACACTGCCAAGTGTGCATGGAATCATGGGAAGAAACGGTGTGCATTGCGGTGTGATAACTGTCATAAAGGTGATTGACAGTGTTTTCAACTCTGGAAGGACAGTTGGAATCTACCAGGTGTGCTGTTATTTGAATAACAAAAGATGTTCATAATTTACAGCTGCTAGAAAGATCACATTCTGACTGGCTCATGTGGAAACCCAGTGGTGTCCCTGAATCTGGGCCATTATGCCTATAAATTGAACAGACTGGGAACAGTTGGGGTCCATCATTTCTACTGTGTATAGCTACTGCGATATTGTGAGACAAGTTATACAGGTTTCAACCATCATTCTGTGAGACTTGTATGAACTGCTCATCGACTCCTGCTTTTAGCGGTGCCCTCTAGAATAACAGCATTCCTCTGCAAGCAAGACTCCTGTATTTCTTCGTTGTTGTGTTGTAGAAGCCATTGACTGTCATCCATTTCTACATCCTGGAATTGAAATTGAAGCTCGACAGATCATTAGGCCCTTTAGTTGTATATTCAGTTCACCCCTTTCAGTCGTGGCAATAACGTGACATGCCGCCCTCTGGCGTCGGTTTGATGCCTCCATCTCGTAAGTTAAGGTGTAATTTACTCAAACGCAGTATAGCACGAGAACTGAAAGCAGTGAACAAGGTAATAATGTACTAGTCTCAATAGTACCGGTAATGGATGTATATACAGCGTGAAATAGTGCAGTTTATTTAACGTCGATACTCCTTCCAATATGAACATTATGCGACGCGGTTTGTTTGTTTGTTTAGGAAATATAAAGACCACGTGAGGCGCTACAGGTGAGACAAGTTTACTGTCGCTTTGACTGTTCAGTGGATATATGGTTATAGTCATGTATTTATAAACTGTCGTGATATTGTGCATCACCGATAAATATGGGAGACAATCATAATAACGATCACAAAAAGGGGGCAAATGCACCGAAGAAAAAGGTGCAACAGGAAAACCAGCCACCACTACCAAACCAACTGACCGATGCTCCTCAGCCAACCCCGGGAACGGCGGTCCCGGCCACGTCTTCATCACCATCGGTACCTGCATCAACCTCAAAAACATCAGTGGCCAGCAAATGGAAAGGAGCGGCCGGTACCGCCACTAGGCGACCGTCTGTGATGGTATCTTCATCACCAAGGCCTGGAACAGCAACTGGGGATGGCCCAAAAAGGTTGTCCGTTGATTCTCGGAAACTCTCCATTGATGGCGGTAATCATCATTACACGAGACGACCATCGAGGGTCTCGGTCGTATCAGTTGACTACCCAAATAAATTACAACTGGCCCAAATAAATGCTGCCGCGGCACAGAACAATGCTGGACAACAGCCGTTTCAACCGGCAGTCGTGAAGCACAGCGAGAAAGGAATACGCGCCGCGATACCCATAATGCCAATGTGGATGGCTATAGTCTGTTGTGTACTTAACTGCGTCATACCAGGTTCAGGTAAAACATTTACGTTCATTACATCAAGGTAGATTGTCCAACTTCCCTCATGATTATTATAAAATTCCGCCATTTTTTCGAGAACCCATGACACGTATATTATAAATAAAATAATACAATGAATTATCGTATCATCATAATGTGTTAACTTTGACATTGATTTTGAGATAATTTCGCATCACTCGGTTGAAACAGGGGCACAGTTTGGTTTGAAAGACGATTAAATTGAATCAGATATAACATTAAACCCACATACAGAGAACTGATTGATTATGCGTCCATGGCAAGATGAACCACTCCATTCTGTTTTAAATGGACATCGTTGCTATGGCAACGGAATCGAAATCCATCATTACACTCAGTTTGCTACGTGACAAAAATGCAAATTAGATTATCAGTGTAGATACAGGCGAGAATTAATTTTAATAATTAATCAAAAACTGACGTAGATTTACATGATGTAATCAGCGTTTGTCATCTGGGCACCGACGCCGTCGCATTTAAGACAATATTGAAAACAAACAGCGATTAAAAAAAATGTTTTCAAGGTAAAAATAACACATGCAATTTCAAATAACGATTCTATCAGCGCCTAGACATCCATATGTTTCAGCAGGTTAAATCATACTCGATATCAAGCGATAAATGCGTGTCGGTGTACGAATTCAATGCCAATTAATATGCGTAAAAGGTTGTCATAGCAACAATACAATCGCATCGCCGCATCTCCGTTGGGCGTAATTCATGACACAGTGAGGTTACTAATGTATTAAGGCCATTATAATCATTAAAATGTGAATTGTGTACTGAGTGGTTCCCATGGCAGTGCTAGATCAATTTACTTCCAACTATAAAGATAAATGGCGGTGGTCGAAACTCAATTAATGTTTCGTCATTTTTCAAACACACGAGAGAGTGAATCGCTTCTGAAGGTGAACTCACATCATGGGTTATTCGTCTCACCTCAAACACTTGAAGAGATGTTGTTTTCCGAACTGTACAATGATTTGTTTGCTTTCGATTCCCACAATCTTAGAATGCGAGACGTGATGTATCCTTAGAATATTGGTCAATAATAAACGATAAAATTAAAATACCAAAATATAGAAGCTGTAGGAATATATAATGCTGGCATTCCCCCAACAAAATTAGAATAAACCTTAAATTTGGTTCCGAACATGCTCTACCGAATCTAAATCTTAAGTCACCAATAAACAATCCATTCAAATATATGAACTGGAACACAATTATTTCCAGTGTTTGGATTATGTCCTTTGCCGGGCTGACAAACTCTGAATACAAGAAAGCGATAGTCATCCTCCGTCTGAAAGTCTTGACATATCTCAAAAACTGAACCAAATGAACCTTCTCGGCGGGGCAGGTTATTGAGAAAGAAAACCCCATTAAATTGTAATGTAATCATAGCCGCGTATTTAATATCGATCGATAAATGCAGTCACCAATTCATGTATTGAGTGTAAGTGTAAACAATAAAAACGTCACGATACGGAAATTAACTTCGATGGCATTTCGGATTTAATAGGAATGTGACGTAGCTATGTGACCATAACAGCTTATTTGCGTAATTGTTCTTTCGAAATCAAACTTCACTGGTCAGTGTGTCACCGTGGGCGGCGCTCGGCCGTTTCTATTTTCAGTCGATAACACTCCAGTTTTTGTTCACATAACAATTTTAAAATGAGCGCGAAACTTCACTTGCACAAAAGAGAAGTTCGACTGTGGAAGACATATCACGAACATAAATGGTATAAACATCCTCGAATTACTTTATCACTCAAAACGTTGTTCGACTGATGTAACAATAACCTTGAAGAGGAATTGTGCGATAAACGACGTATATTGGCTTACAGTAGCTTTACTGTGTGTACATTGCGAGCCAACAAGTGTAAATAATTATGAAAAATGACGTAAATGTAACAAAACAGAAATAACAACATACAAATCAAGTGATTTATGATAAAATAAACGCCATCGAGATACCAAGTTGCGTACCCATACAGGTATTCGACAAATACTCGTTAAACATATGGCCAAGAATTCACTTTGCAATTATTATTCCCAAAATACTGAACTATGAATAATATAGTATAAGAAAAAAACGCGTAATACCTCGGAATTGTTTGTAAAATACCGCCTGTGGCCGAGACTTATTCTGGGTGCTGTAAACACGCCACCAACGGCGATAATCATTGGACGTTTTGAGAATGGGGTCCCATCATGAGATACTTACGATGCATGTAAACACGGTTACTAAAAAAAGAAAACTACACTGTGAATGTCCATGCCTGAATAAACAGTCACGTGACATAGTACTGGAGTGTCTACATTCAAATGCAAGGAAGCTTCGTTTACGGCAGTTGCAACGTGCACTAACAATCACTGCATATGCATTTTGTTGGTTTTATATTAAATATTGTTATGTTTTCTGTGAACGCCACATTTTTAGTTGATGGTAAATCATAGCCCAATTTGATCTGCAGTATGGAGTATTAAACAACAATAATAAAAATAATATAGATTGCATCTTTAAAGTTTAAATTTCTGGTCGACATTAGCAATGTGCTGTGCGTTCAGAATAACAAGGCAACACTGGTTCAGCATCAGGCAGCACAGATTAAATTAAATCAGTGAAATAACAAATATGTAGTACAATACCATATATACTGACGTCGTGCGAAAAAAAGAGGACTTGTAATTTCATCTCCGTGCGTCCGTCCAATCCTGTATCTCAGATATGCCTAGGCCGATTTCATTCAAACTTCACACACATCATAGCATCATATCACAGTCACTTGGGGGCTGAAAATCAATAAATACTAATTTTCAACAAAAAAATCATCTGCTATACGTATATAAATAAACAAGTTGTGAAACACGGCACCTAGTAAATCGACACCCTGTCGGTTTCAAATGTCGATTTCTTACCTTAAAATGCGAAACAAAAAATTTAGAGGGGATCAGGTGTTACGTTAATAACCATTGTTCATAATCGTTAACTTGGTTTTATTCAAAACTGCACAAATTCCGCGTTTTCTGATGATATCCGACGATTTCATGAAC